CATTATCATTACATCGTAAACGTTTCTTAATTTACTGATGTGATCATTTCTATAACTCTGCTGTGCCAACTCCATATATGTAAAATATTGCTGTGCATTACTGATAATGACTGTAAAAATGGCATGTAGACACCGTGTCAGAAATATATTGTATCAAAAGTGCATTGGAGCAAATCGAACACAACGTTAGCCACCAGTATATTTATGAACGGACACTGTTAGCACGAGTTTTAGAACTAGAGAATCTAGTTTTGTTCGTGAACCATGACTTAAAAAATAGTTCAACGACGTGATTCATCTAATGCCCAAGATTCGTGTTAGTCAGTTCTCAGAGACTTCAGATCATCTGATGGAATGTTTAAAGATGCCACAAGTATTCAGAGTTTGAAAACACCCTAATCAGCAACACCTTTTATAATCAGAATGTGTCAATCCAGTCAAATCAAAAGTCAGAAGTGAAGAGGTGTATATAGAATATCTATATATCGAGAAGTGATAAATCTAGGCTGGCTAGAGGTCATTAGAGATTTGAGGCATGGGGTAGTCACTCGTGATCCGGTGCGAATGCGTGACCGTGGTCCCTAAGCTAGATGAGTCCGTTGGATTTATTGCGGTCAGCATCAAATGTCAAATACTTGCGTAGCTATTGATTTTGGGGATTTACTTACCGCCACATGTTCTAGATCCTATGTGCCACCTACATAAGGCTTAATACAAAGAACTATCTGAGTGGATAGTTCATGTGTAATATCAAATACAGAATCTCTTGAGTTTTTCAGAAGAGTAGCTACTAAATTGGTAATATGGTTTATTAAACTCTTGTTTAGGGATGCCTTTAGTTATATTTCCCATCTTTCCATGGAATAAGGTACCTCATACTACAATTTTCTATCTTGAATACCAACTTCGGTGATGGCACGTCCCATCATTTTGTTTCTTCTCAGGCTAATTGTCTCAGAGATTATGGTGAAGATGCTCGAAAGCATTAATTTAATAGACTTGAGTTGAAATCCTGTCACATCCATAGAGTAAGCACTGACTGGAGCTGGATAAGTTCTACTACTAATACTACTTAAACGCTTTTCAAGAGAAAGTGAGTCTTCTATAGGAAAGAACCGCAAGAGTTGACAGGTCAACCAACCTTCTGTCTTTATTACTATCTCTGATATTGACAAAGAATGTCCCCAATAATGTCCGTCCGGTCATCAAAGAGCCTAGGATTCATAAACGTTCTTCAACCTCCAAACAAAAAGGTGCTGAAACTGAACGCACCAGAAAACGTGGGAAAACAATAATGGTTTGTGATGACTCTCTCATAATCATGAACCTCAAAGACAACCCTGACTTTCCTTTCAGTTTGCAGGACGAAAATGACAGGATGCTCTGGGGTGAATTGAACGAGGAACTTGAACTTCCTAGGATATAGCCTTAGACGGACACACGGCTCACTCGGGGAAAGAAATCTAAGCATCAAAATCACCCGAGGCCACTTCGTGTAACACTTAGGAATGCTACCGACGTAGAGGATATCTTGCTAGCGAGTCATTTACTGAAATCAGATGGGAATGTAAGAATACTGCCCGACATACCGTCTTCTGAGCGCGACCTCATCCGGAATATCACTAAAGAATCTCGCGAGTTTTTCCGCGGAAGAAATGTAACTGTGCGAGGTGTACCTGAAACACGAACCCTAATCTAGCAAACTCTGATATTAGGGGATGGAAATTCATCAAACAGTCCTTGAGGCTCAAAAACATACTGACTCAACTTGTGACGAGACTAGCCAAGAAGGACTGTCACTCCAGACCCCGGCTAATGAAGATAAATGTCCTATCCTCCCATATGGCAGCTGCGACTCTAGAGGCATTTCGTGCCAACAGACGTCGGTTGCCACCCGGAATCCACATGCACCCAGATATGCCATATGAAACTAGGACCAAGTACAAAGGCAAGTTGGAGCTGACCATTCCACTTGTGGACTGTCTAAATGATAAAAAAACGTGTAAAGGACAGGGCCTACCACCTCGGCAAACCTCATATAGGTAGGCTACCTGTCCACTCACATAAGGCTCATACAGAAAAACAGGACGAAGCTCACGCGTTCCAAATTGAAAGCATAAACTGCTTATATATGAACGCCGCGAGTCTACCAAACAAACTGGATGAATTACGTGAACTTAGCAACTCTAATAAGGCCTATCTGATAGGAATATCTGAAACCTGGATATCTCCTCAGTTCTCGGACCAAGAGTTAGCATTATCTGGGATGACTTTGTTCCGCAACGACAGAAAAACAGGAATTGGGGGTGGAGTAGCCATATACATAAGTTCTTGCTTGGAGGTGCACCAAGTTCACAACCTCGAGTTTAACAATCTTGAGGAATCCATTTGGTGCTCTGTAAGATTGTCTACTACTTCGAGGTGTCTAGTCGGAGTCATATATAGAAAGCCCACTGCCGACACCGAGTATGACGGTCGTATGCTGGAGGGATTATCCCGCTCTACTCGTCTCGGTTTCACTCATATCCTGATTCTAGGGGACTTTAATCTCCCTAGAGTCAACTTCGCGGAACATACATATAGTGGAGGTGAAAACCCAGCTGAAGCTCGGTTCTTCAGCCTCATTGAGGACTTGGGATTACACGAAAATGCAAAGTCGGCGACTCGTTGGAGAAACAGTCAGACACCATCTCGCCTAGATTGTGTATTTACAAACGAAGAATTCCTAGTTGACAACCTCTCAATCCTGGCTCCTCTGGGAAAAGCGATCACGCCGTTATAGCTTTCAGTTACGTCAGCAAAACTGAGCTAAGATATCCCACCAACAACATGCGCTGGAATTTCAAACGGTTGAAAGTGTCAGCTCTATAGAACTATCTACAACAGGTGGATTGGGATGTTCACTCTCAACTCGATGTGAATACTCATTGGAACTTGGTACTTCACACTTTTCTATGTGCTACAAAGCAGTCAGTTCCTCAAACGGTCCCCAGAAGCTACAAGCAACCTACAATCATCAAGAACCGCACTCTTCGCCCGCTAAGCCGCAGAATGCACTGTTGGGCAGAGTACAAACGAACTGATAACGACGGAGCGTATAGGCAATACAAACATATAAGGAACATATGCACGAAGGCTATAAGAGAAGACAGTCTTCAGTACCAGACAAAGCTTATGGACAAATTTGTATCTAATCCGAAAAGCTTATTCCGTTATGCAGCCTCTCTTCGTCAAGCCAAAACAAGAGTTTCCCAACTGCTAAGTCCTAACGGCCAGACCAATAACGACGGCGAAGCCGATAACCTTTTGGCTGAACAATACTTTCGGACATTTCAACCGACCCAAATCAACTATACTGATGAAAGCTTCATCTGCAACTCCAAAGGACTTTCCGAAGTGAACCTGAGCGCTGACTTGGTGTTCCGGAAGCCGCAGCACTTAAGAATAGACACTTCTCCTGGCCTGGATATGGACCATTCTACCATACTAGTGGAGGCAGCCTCAATCCTGGCAACGCCGCTTAGCGTGTGTTCTCACACTCACTAAGCCGAGACAAACTGCCGGAAAGTTGGAAGCTGACTCACATCACACCAGTTTTCAAAGGAGGTCGACGCAGCGAAACTTCAAGTTACCGGTGGCTCTTCTCTCAACACATTCAAAAATCATGGAGTCCCTGATATGCGATGGTATAAATGACTATTTACTGTCCTTAGATTTCTTCTCACCCCAACAGCATGGTTTCAAGCAGGGTTACTCTTGTATAACCAACCTGCTGACTGAGGTGGACAGATGGACAAGCATCCTCGATCACAAGGGGGAGTTTGATATCATCTACATAGATTTCTCAAAAGCTTTTGATAAGGTTAACCATACTTGTCTTATCAACAAGCTCAAGCGATTGAGTATCAGACTACCTCTAATCGATTGGCTCACTTCATACCCTAAAAATCGACATGGAATGTCCTAGTGGGGTCCCCCAGGGCTCAGTACTAGGACCTCTTCTCTTCTTGGTCCACATAAACGATCGTCCTCAACAGGTAACGTTAGACTTATTAGTTTTTGCCGATGACGTGAAACTTTGGAGAGAGATACGCAACCAAGACGATATACAGGCACTTCAGGTGGATCAGACTGGACTTCAGAGTTGGGCAGACGATAACGGACTTACTTTTAACACTTCAAAGTGTAAAGTAGTCCATCCGCGACATGTCACAAACTACAGTTACAACTTAGGAAACTCCTCTCTAGTAGTATCCCAAGTCGAAAAAGATTTAGGAGTCCTGGTGCCCTACGATTTGAAGTCTTACGCTGTGACAAAAATGCCTTCCGAGCAAACCTTGCACTGGTAACGTTGAAGCGCATTTTTGGCCAGTTTGACGGAATAACTTTCCGTATAATCTTCAATAGTTTTATCCGTCCCCATTTAGAGTACGGAAGCATAGTATGTTCTCCCTCACACCAAAAGGATAAGGACACTTTGGAGCGTATCAACGGCGAGCCACGAAATCAGTTCGAGGACTCAAATTTAAACCTTATGAAGAGAGCCTCCATTCACCAGACCTTTACCCATTAGAATATAGGCGTCTTAGAGGCGATTTATTAATGGCTTATAGTATTCTTAACACTTCTGGACATCCTCTTAAACACCTACTTGAGCTTAGTTTTAACACTAACCTAAGGGGTAACACCCAGAAACTTGAGACACAACATAGCGGAACGGAATGTAGACACAACTTCTACTCCATAAGAGTTGTCAAATGCTGGAATTCGGTGCCGGCCGAGCTAGTCCAAGCGACTTCCCAGGAGTCCTTTAAGAGGCAACTTGATCTATTCTTGAGGATTAGGGATAGTATCATACTATGATTTACCAATTTCTTTTTCCTCTTTTATTGTTAACATACCTAGGCCACTGCCTGGAGGCTTTGGTGATCCCCTGCTACTAGACACAGAAGCCTGTTAAGCGAAAGCTTCTTCTATTCCGTCCACAACCATTTGAACCGTTTGAACCATTCAAATGCCAGCGCTACTTAAAAGTCCTTCGACGCTTTGGACCGACCAATAGCGCTGTTGCACGTTTGTAAGCAAAGAGCAACAGGACTCACCATATTTGTTTCTTGTTGTTTAAGATATAATTCGCTAGTATCTATTATTGTTTGGGTATTCAAATCTTAAAACCCCTCTTTTTGTAAAATATTGGGTTGTTTGGTGCCATAACTATCACATCTACCTTTCCTATTCGTCCTTGGTGTACTCACTATTGACGACCATTACGTAGAATTTGTTTGGTGTTCACCAAAGTGAGTTGCCAAGCAACTAATAACTTAGTGGTCCACTAGCCTTTAGTATTTCTGTTTAAGCTGTTTACAGACGTCATCAAAATTTTTGTAGCAGTCTACACGTCCTGTAGACCTGACTTGAAACGGAAAGCCTCTTTGTAGTAAACTAGTTGCTAAGCCGACTCTTCCTCAAACACCCTTGATATTCCCATCCGTTTGCTGAGTTCAGTCTACAGTAATAAGGATATGAGGTCTATTGACCTAAATAAATCCTTGCAGTTTGTAATACTGTAGAGGTCCAATCTCGTTTTGAATATATCAACGGAAGGTGCTGATGTTACGTGTTCCGGTAGAGAATTCCAGTAACTCACTACTCGGTGCGAGAAACGAAACTCCAGACGTAAACGATTTGATCTCGGTTTTTGAACTTCTAACGTCCTCTCAAGTGATCAGTCCTGGACGGAAGTAAAAGATAAGACATGTTAATACCAAGGTCATCGTTCAGTATATGATAAGCCAATATTAGATCACCTCGTACTCTACGGTAAGATAACGGAAGTAAGTTGAGGTGTCTCAGTCTGTCTCCATAAGATAGGTCAGATAGACCTTGTACCATATTAGTACCTCGTCGTTGGACTCTTTCCAACATATCTGCTTCATACTTGAAACAAGGACTCGCTGCTTGAATCCCATATTCTAAATGTGGTCCCACATAAATCGGGTATAATAATCTAAACATTTCATCATCTAGATACTGGAAAGACCTACAAATAGACCATAATACCCTATAGCCTTTCGCAGCAGCAGCCTTACAGTGACTAGTGGTTTTGAGATCACTGCTTAATATGACTCCTAAATCTTTATAGTTTCTTACTTTGGGTAGCACGAATCCACCTATTGTGTAGTGATACGATTCATCATAGTTATTTATTTGCATCACTACACTCTTATTAGGATTTACTTCTAGTGACCACCTGTCTAACCATGCCACCAATGAGCTAAGACCATTCTGTAATACTATCCTCTCCGACATACTGTGTATGGGTCTCTTAGAAGTTTTCCCCTTGTAAGTATTTTGTATTCATTAAAGCCCACTATAACATGTGCTTCTACTAGAGTACGACCAATTTCCTCGTTTATTCTCCAGAGTTAGTGATCTGTCAATCCTCTCAGTCGATGACTAGTAAGGATCCACATTCATCGTCTGGTTAGTCTGTGGTCATCAGGCCTGAAGATATCTCTCTTCTCTAGCCTGAAACGCTGTAGCTAAGCCTAATAGTGCCAACTTCAAACAAGTGTTTTAATAAAAATGCTTGCACAGATGTCCTGGTAACAGTTTATCTTTCTGCTTTCATGTAGAAGAAGCTCAGAAAATGTTTGCCAAAACATCGAAAATGATGTCTTTCTCCTGCATAGTTGGCATCTTAATATGTATTTACGCATTACATGTGGAGCATTCAAAGGAATCAAATAAGGAGTACCGTGCATTTTGTGATATTTCCGAATATATGAGTTGTTCGAATGTATTGACATCAAAGTAAGACTATGTTTGCATGCCTTTTTTTAAAACTCTGATACGGCCGAGGACTTGGATTACCGATAAATTCTTACGGGAATGCCATATTTACCCAAAGGAACCCAGTATATGGTCTATTTTACTACACTCTGATGTTCTTGCTAAGTAATTCGCTGTAACTAGCTCATCGTCATACTCGATGCGTTTTATTTTATAGGTTGTCTCAAATCAAAAATAATGACGAAATTATCAATACTACTGTCTTGCATTTCTGTTCTGGGCTCAATTTACTTGTGTTACATTTTATTTTTTATTCTCAGAGATATTTGTCTTGTTTGTTTGTCTATATACGCTGTAAACGTTATTATTTGTTACTTATCATTTAAACGCTATACAAATGAACATTTTATGAAGAAATCATTATGAAATTATCTAGTGTTTTTTTTAAAAATTCGTATACTGCATTTACTGCCATGTAATATTATTATGTTTCGCCCTTTCTCTACCTTTTTTTAGAAGTATTGAAAATGCTGTGGCATATAGTTGTAACGTTCTTGTATAGCGAGATGTTCGTTGTTTTGCTGATGATTCTTCCATTTTTCTCATCACAAACGTAAGATTCATATACATTCCAAGTTTAGGTAGTTACCATTTAAAAAAAAATTAGATGGAGCAAATTCTTCAAATTCAGCATAATCCAGAAGATTTCAGAAAAATCATCATTCTATTTTCGTTTATTTCTCGTAATGTTAGTATGCGTGTTAGCTGGTAAGTGAAACATATGTTTTTGTTGCATTTTTCACAAAAATCTGTGCATTTTTTTCAAAGCCTAACGACTAAATGTACATGATAAACCACTGACGGTCTCAGGAATGTAGTTTGTCATTTTGAGACAATTTCAGTTCGTGGATTGGTGTTACGGATGTCGTTACTTATATCAACGTGGTTAAAGATTACCGTGAAACTATTGTTGGTTGGTTACTTAGGTTGATATTTGAAATAAAGATCTGACAATCGAATCTTCCAAAAGGTTGTAATATTTGCTCTTAATAATCCAATTGGAAATTTGTAAAATGTATGGTATTGATTTTATTGGCATTTAAACGCAAATTACTATTGGAGGACTCATATATATATTGAAGTTATTCCATGGGGAAAATAAGAATCAATGTCTAGGAATTCTTGATGATACTTTCGGAGTGTTAGCTGTTACTCCTTTTTGTTTAACTGGGGCTAATTTCCCATACTTGAAATATCTTGTTTTGTTGCCCAAGTATAAAATCATTTGGCAGCCTAGGTGATTGATTGTATAAGATGAATTCAAGGGTTGTAAATCTATCAAGTCCTTGAACACTTTGACTAGTTATGTCTTGTTAAATACCAAACATAGAAATTATGTTGTTTTGGATTCTCCCTTCTCCTAAAAAGACTTCATGATTTTGATGGAGTTTTGTTCTCTGAGCTGGATGGTTTGGTCGTGACGATCAAAATCATCCACTTGAACTGCAAATCTTGCCCACCATCTTGAGATCTCATGATGCAATCCATTTAATTAATACAGGCTTTGAGTTAATTTTTTTTGTATGACGGCTACTGACGCTTCATGGCTACTGAAAGTGAAGTAGGTGTGGTTCAAACTTCTGACTATCTATTCATTTCCTGAATTAATAATAGAGTGAAGTAGTTGAACTCAGTGACCACTTCACCTATCTTGGGAGTCTCATCAGTCCTGATGGTTTGGTGTCTGACAAAGTTTCAGCACGTATTCTGAAGGCTCAATCGACTTTTGTCAATTTTCGTCACTTGTAGTGTAGGCGAGATATTCGTCTATCAACCAATGGACAAATTCATTATACAATAGTTGACTCCGTCCTACTTTATGGGTATTAAACCTGGTCATTAATAATAAAAAAATATTCGTAGGTTACTTGTAATTAATCATAGGTATTTTCGAAACATTCGTCATGTATTTTGGGACCACCGGGTAAGCAATGCCTGGGTTGGGAATATAGTACTATGTAAAGATAGCAAATGAATTGATGAGGTAGTAAATCTTCATCAACCGAATTGAATGGGACATGTCTAAAGTATACCCAACCACCATCTATCTTGACAAGTGGTGTGATTACCACTAGTACTCTTACTACTTCTACTATTCTAGGATTTGACTTGACAAATCTCTGTGCTCATGGGGTATAGAAACTTAAACCTATGTACATACGTACTAGATCCTACGTTGTGACTGACTGATTGACTACTCTGGGATTTGTGGACCGATGCATGTGCGTTCTACGTCGCATATGAATGGCTGATTGGTCATTCATAATAGGTTATTTCCATTCCTTTTTTTACTCATTTTGTTAATTCCATCTCTTTCGCGTAGCAACTTGAGCCAATCCACACATATCAGGTTTCAACATTGACCCTAACTGAATGCTTTTTAATCTCAAGTATTTTACAACTTATAATACTTAAATATTGAGTGAATCAATAATTAATGTAAGACACTTAACAGTTTCAAAATCTTAAGAAAACATGTTAAAATGATATAATTAAATATCACATTCGAAATGAAGTTGTATGGAATAAAAAATAAAACTAAAAATAAACCTTTCTATGGTTTCGTAACCTAATAAGTACCTAGTCAGTTCACATGGGCTCCAGTATCCTTAAGGAAAAAATGGCGTACGAACCAGTTATTGGTCGCCGGTTACCACGGGGATGCATCTCCTTACGTTGCCCCACTGCTTTGTGCATCAGACTTTTAGGTCAAAGTCTCCGGGTGTTGCCCCCTAAAGAAACCATCAACTTCGATTTGGGCACCTGGGCAGTATCACAGGCCTCACGCATATCAAATGAGATTTGTGTGGCGCATATGTATCTGGTGCTCCCTTGTACCAATATCTATGTGTTCAAATAAATAAATAAATACAGTTAAATGTACAGTTCTAATTTGTTGGTATATTGTATGGTCAGTCAGTCATTTAGCTACAACGTAGGACCAGGCACATATATGTATCGGTCCAAGTTGCCATACCTCAACAAGATGAACACCGAATTCATAGAATTAGTTAATTCAGTGGTGGTAATATATAAAAGAATGATTGCATATAAGGAAATAGTACCGGAAGAAAGAATTGGTTTGTAGAAAGAAAGATATGAAGCGATTTTAATCTCATAGTTTGGGGGAAGACAAAGAGTGTATACACTGACGCCATTGTGATCGATTCTGAGATATTAAGAAGTATATGGTAATCGAGAAATAATGTGATTAACTAAGAGAATCGTAAGTTGTATTCAATTGTATGTTTATATCATTATTACTAAGAGTTTGTATTATCCCATTGTTGTTAATCGGGATCAGTTTTTGATCAATCTTTGTTGGGGTATATGCATCTTGTCCCTATTGCATCGATATAGCCATTTTGTCCTCAAGTTATTTAGAATAGATAGATTATAGCTAGATGACACGTTTCGTCCTATTTGAGACTCATCGTTTAGATGTACTTAGATCTTAGTATCCTGAATATCAGCTTTAGAATGTGCGTAAATTCAGTTGACAAGTCTCGACTTTGACTGCTAGTCATAATCCTCCTATTTAAGGGTGTATAGTGATTGTTTTGTTTTGAATATTTTACTTGTAATTTTTGTGCAGAATACCATCTTATAAATCGATTTTTTGAAATTTTGTTCATAGAAGCACTTCGTAATATATGGGTACTGAGACAAGCCTATAATTCAATTAAAGATCATCCTCATGAAATGCGTCCAGAAACAGAATCTCTTTACTTGATGCGTATGTTCCGTGCTCAACGTAATTTTTATATTACTGGATTTTCGTTATTCGTGTGGTTGTAAGTTAGCTTTTTTCACTTAATTTTACTTTGATCTTTTCCTAAAGGCGAACTTTTAATGTATAAATTAATTGGCGTTGAACATTTTAAGTCAGACTTTTAATCATACCAGTGATTAGATTGTAGTCTGAATACCGGTTACTGGAATACAGTTGATACCTTAACGTGGTGGTAGGGCTTGCCTATCGTGATGAACCACTCGAGCCATACTGGCTGGATCAATCGCTCCTCAGTTCGTAGTTTCAACCTAATCTATAGATTGCAACTCGTAGGCTTTAAAAGACTTGTTCTACCGAAAGACATTCGAGTTTCCGCTATTAGGTCTCAGGTTCGGTTCGGGCAATCGGTTAGTATCACTAGCTCTCACACTTAAAAGGTGGTCCATACTCAATTACCTGGTGAATGAGTTAACTAGATTTGATTTTGATTTTGACATATAATGTGGTGATTTTAGCTTAGGAATTTGATACACAGAAAGTTACATCAAGCGAAAAATTAGTCAAGATTAGAGATGACGAAGGTAGGATAATGTTTTAGAATCATAAATATTATAAAAAAAAAAGCTGAAGAATTTCCCATCTCATCTCCAACTTCAAGCAATGTTTTTCTGTAATTGTCACGTAAAATATGTCGTTTTTTCAGACAGTTTATACAATTAGTGGATATAGTATATGACTAGCCGTGGAATCTAAGATGCATGTCTCATCTTGTTTGGGACTCGTCAGATGGATTTACATGCATCAGTATTGGTGTTCACACAGCGACTCTAACTCAGTACCTTTCGCTTCAAATGCCCAATACCTTATCTATTGAGCTAGTGACTCCAGATAACCACTTCTTAACTGAGTGCGAATAGCCATTGAGTTGTGTAACTAGGTGGATTTTAAGTCATTTGTAACGTTTGTTCTAACGTTCTCGTTGATTCAATTGATTGCAGTTGATTAGTGTCTTGAAGTGAAAGGAACTGTGTTTGAATCTCTGTGGTTACATCCAGCTAATGAGTCCTAAATAGAGTGAAACGCGTATTCTCGACTTAAATGCTAGCCACTATTGTTTAAAACACAATCATACATATAAAAAAGATGATTTTTTTTCATATTATTTCTTGTTTAAACCTTCGTTATATCTAATTGTAACTGATTCTCATATTTCAAGTGTACTGCATCGTCTTGTCAGTTTACTTTCGGAACATGCCAAAATGCAAGCTTCCGAAGAGGCGAGTATTAAACAAGCTCAAAGTGCAACAGCAGCAGCGCAACGTTTGTTAGATCAATCAAAAGTTACTGATAGTGATACGGAAGATATATATGTAAGTTTATTATTATCATCATCGAAATGTTATATGAGCTGGGTGGTTTAATCACGAAGGTTTCTAATTGGCATTCTAGAGACCATTATTAGCGCAAGGTTCTGATAACAATGTTTAACGTTCAACCTTTATTATTATGTTGTGCGACTTTCCGAATACTTATACTGATATACGCAAGCTTCCTATACTCAATTGTAGACCAACTAATTGGATGAGAAGGAAGCTTTATTGACAAAATGGAATGGATAATATATGTGCATGCTTTTCCTTAGAAGATAAAGCCACACTTCCAATCAATCGTATGTCCCCACCTAGAAAGATAAACCAAATCTTGACTAACGACGTGCGCCGATCTTTTGGCTAATGTCTGACCAGATTTATTATTAGGATCACATCTGATCTACAGAGGAAGTGTAGCGAGCAATATGTTTGAAAGAGAAAAGAATAAGAGAAAAAGTAAGCCGACAGTTTAGTGAGCACATAAGATGCACTTACATTTAACAATGGATACAATCAATGACATTATCGATAATATAGGTATGAGATTAAGACAGTCGGATAATTGGAACTAGAAGCTGATAGTATAAGATTCCAAATGAGTTACAGTTAGATATTGTCCTTATACATACCTAACAGCTTATTCTGTTAACCTTGACCTTCACTGATTGTTGTTTACACTGGCCCCGTTATTAGCTGAACATTTATTCAATCGATTTTTTCGATCTTGACAGCACTTTTAGAAGTTTGGCATTCAGATCAATCGGTGTTTAATAAACGTATGGAAATCTATTTAATCTATTGATTAATTAGAAAAAATCTTAAATAATTATAAGGTCAATGATCACGTCAAATGTTCAGGCATTGATAGGACAAATAATATCTCATTGATGCTACTAAGGTCTGTAATTGATCAGTCTCGTTTTCTGTATTTGTGTACACTGAGCGAATCACTTCAATATTACGATTAATTCACAGGTGTCTTTAAAAAACCTGGTGATAAGTAACAGTAGAATCCAGAAAATACGTTTCGTCCTGTTTAGGATTCATCAGCCTGATGTAACTACATCCCAATATTGATCTTCACACTGAAATTTGAACACAATACCATTCGCTTCCAATACCAACTCGTTATCCACAGAAGTACCAAGTCCAGATATCCACTGGATTATGCAATGAAGATGAATTTGATTTGTAAATATTTATATCTCCCTTTTGTGATATTAAAGACTATAATTGATTAATACATTTTTGGCATACATGTGAGTCCTAGATAAAACAAACACTCATCATGGATTCCATTGCTAAACACTATCCAACTTTACTAAAATAATAAAACAAGTGTTAAAAACAACCAGTCAAATCCAAAGTTGACAGGACAAACTGTTAGTTATATATGGATAAATTCGAATAGCTCACTTTCATCTAAATTTTGTATTTGTAATGTTTTCTGGAAGGAAAATAAGACAGTTTCATGGTCAGACGTTAAAGTTCTGAATGTGATTCTCGGTGAGGTCGTAGATGGATACTTCTGTGAAACTTCATAGTAATATGAAATGCTTACTGATTTTCATTGGTCGTCTCCCTACAGTCAATTCGTGATACAAACTGTGAAATTCAATGATCTCCACAAACCTGCCACACTAATTTTTGTGCCTTATTAATTTAACCAAGTAATCTAGTTGTACATTAACTACTTTGTGCTTCACAGTTGTTATTGTTAGGATTATAGAATGCCCTGATACGACCGAGGGTAGAGAGAGTCCGCTCCCCCCTCCATATTCTCTCATATGATCACGCGTATATAGCCACTCATCATTAAGTCCTACTCCCTGCCTTCCCGCCAACGGGCTGCTCTTCACGAAGTCAAGAGGACGAAAAGCAAATATTTTGGAACTTAAACCAGATTAGTGGACGGATACAGAGGATCTACCTAGGACAGTTGGAAAACCCTGGTTCCAAACCAATGGTGAACATGGGCTTCAGGATCCTAAGGGAACAAATGGAGTATGAACCTAATCTTGATCACGGGCTACTATGTGATCGCATCTCATAACGTTTCTTCAATGTCTTGTAGAGTAGATTCCTTGACCAAAGGCTTATGGAGTGGCTCCTAAGACAACCAACTGCTTCGGTTTGGACAACCGTACAGTATCTCGTCCCGCATACAAATTGAGTGATTTTTGTGGCGCATATATATTTTGGTGCTCCTTTGTATCAGTGTATATGCGTTTAAATATTCAGTCAGTCAGTAACAACGTAGAACTTCGTACGTACGTACGTACATCAGTTCGAGCTGCCATACCATATTAGCATAGAGATGCAGTTGTCGATCCAAATCCCGTAGTGGTAGAGGTATTAAAAGTATAAGCAGCGTTTTAATAAATAGATAAAGATTACAGAGTGATGAATTTTCTTTATGTTCACACTTAAAATATAAATTCCATAACTGTGCAAGCATTGCAGGAGAAGGTATTTAACTTTAACTAATGTTGATGTTAGACAGAAGGTCTAACTACAATATTGAACCATATTGAGTATATCGGACTGTGTAAAATAAACCAGTTTTGTGTTTTAAAAGTTATTCTTTGCATGTATGGTTAAAACTACGACCACATAACTATTAGGGCTATGTTGTGTTAGGGTCAGTCGCGTTTGATCCAAGCATGAAGTAACGACAATGAGTAGCAAAATCTCTATGGCTAGCTGGAAACCTCAGCTGTGTGCCTCGATGCAGCAACCGCGGGTGCAGATCTTAGTGGTCGTAGCAAGTATTCAAGTAAGAACATAGAAGGCTGAGATGGGGTGGGGTTCCATGCGAACAGGAGTCGAATATGGGCCAAGCGGCCCAAAATTATCTGGCAAATTGGGACTGACGCGGTGTTTATGACATTGTCCGTCCGCAGGATTCGCGCAGTAATTTGCAAAGCACTGTCGCATTGTAGCCCCCTGTACTGAAAGAGAGTCGGGTTAATATTCCCGACCTTAACCACAGAAATTGGTGTATTTTGAGTCTTTGGCTCGAATTAAGCCTGGTGCGGTGACGCGATCAACCTCGAAGATATCGGCGAGAGTTCTAGAAAGAGTCCTCTTTTCTCTGCCAGCAATCCACCCACTCCTTAAAATCGGCTTGATCAGGGACAGGGGGTAGCCTGCTTTGTAGCCCGCTTTTGTAGACCATAAGCAATAAGAAGAGGAGCAGTTTGATTTTCCTGGCATCCTATACTCATATCTACAGCAGCTATTTAAGGTATACGGCCTTTGAAAACTGACATGTCGGTAAAGGAAGCTAGCAAATTGGACCCGTAGCGTTGAGGGGAAGATCGACTCTAGGGACCAAGATCAAATGCATGTTGGTCCAATCGGGAGCTGATTTCTTTGCTTCGCTGTGTGCTCCGATGTGGATTGTAGTGAGGTTTCTGAACTCTAACCAGGGTCCATTGTGGGTGAGTTCAGCTGTTAGTGCTAAGCAACTCTCAGTTCTAGTAAAAACTACAAAATGCCGTATATGAAATTATAGTTTGTAACAAAATTTTGAACTCTATATTTGTTTAAAGTGTTTTTTAATCACTATATATATATATATATATATATATATATATATATATATATATATATAAACATATAATTTGAATATAGCTTTCTGTAATCTGTGAAATTCTTCTCTTTCTTGTTCACTAGCCTGATACTATGGAAGCACTGAAAGATGAATTGGCGAAATTAACTAAGAAATTTGAATCTGAGGAAAAAGGTTAGTTCTAATCTTGAACTACATGGTCATATATATTGTGTATTTTGTATTGTTTTTTTTTACAGAATAAGAGAATAATAAACACAGTTTTGAAACTCCAAGGTCTAGGGATAGACGAAGATCGAATGTATCTGTACCATGTCGACTGATTCTGAGTCGTATCACCCAATATTTCATACCATTAGTCACACCTGCTTCGGTTCGGGCACCCGGGCAGTATCACAGCCCTCACACATATCAAATGAGAACTGTGTGGCGCATTTGTATTTGGTGCCTCCTTGTACCAATGTCTATGTGTTAAAATAAAATAAAATAAAACCATTAGTCACAATAATCAGAGGAACTCTAAATAGATAATCTGGTAGGTAGTTGCAGGTAATCTCCAGGAAACCTTGGGCTATTTCCCATGCCAACTTACACTCTATTTAATCTTACTCTTAATCTTTATGGAACTTATGCTCCCTTTTGTATTCTTTTTTGACTTCCGTTGTCTGAAATCTGATACATATACACTAGATTCTACACACTAACGGACTACTTGAGTGAGAACACAAAAGTGAGCGATAAAGTGTATTAGACTACCGAATAAAATGCACAAATACTCATATATATATATATATATATATACCATTCTACCCTTAAGAACTTGACTAATTGACCCCAATCAAATGTACTTGACCTTTTGCTACTTCTGATTATCTCTCCATATCACATTTGAATCCACATCACTCAGCTTTAAAGTTCGAGACAATATCGCTGAGCTATTCGAGTTGCGACTAACCTTCAACAGGACTGAGATATTTATAATTGATTAGTGATTATCCAATATTATGTTTCTTTAATCCTGAAGTCCTGGTCAAATTTCATCTATTAAGCTGTAATGTAACCACTAGTCTAAATGACTCAACATTGGATGAACTATATTAAGCTGTTAAGCAGTGTATCAAGGTACTAGGTGGGAAACCCTATTTGATCTGTTACTTACCTACTTACGCCTGTTACTCTCAATGGAGTATAGGTCACCGATCAGCATTCTCCAACTCATTCTGTCCTGGGCCTTCTTTTCAACTTCTATCCAATTTTTGTTCATTCTTTTCATGCCTGTCTCCATTTCACGGTGTAATGTGTTGTTTGGTTTTCTTCTTTTCCTTTGGCCTTGAGGATTCCAAATGATGAGGGTTTGCCTTGTGACGCAGTTGGATGCTTCCCTCAATATGTATCCTATCCACTTCCAGTTGTTCTTACTCCGCTGGAATCTGATTTGTTCTCTTCCACAATAGGTTGTTACTGATATCGTGTGGCCAACGAATTCGAAGTATTTTGCGTAGATAGCTGTTAATAAACAATTGTATCTTCTGGATGATGGCTTTCGTAGTTTCCGCCTATTACCCATTAGTTAACACAAAGTTTATTAAGTAAAGGAATTACATTAGTTATTTCATAATGGCTGAATTCAGAATGGTTTAAACCTTTTGTAAATATTACTTTAGCCTTTTAAGTTAGTCATTAATGAGAATTGAATGTTTTCTTTTATTGAATCTTATATCTCTATATAATAGCTCATCAAAAAACTAAACAAGATTTAGAAACTTTAAAGAAACAAACTCTTCAAACGAATACTGAATACGATCGTGTCACACAAGAATGTCAAAAACTACAAGTAAGTTACAAAGAGGGATGATTCATGTTTTATAATTAATCTACAATGAAGTAATCAACACCTTCTTAAAATGATATTTTATTGAAATATTGTGACTTGTTGTGGTAATAGGGATGGTTTAGAGTATTTCACTAAATACCCATATATTATCTTAATTATTATTTATTTAAGCGCATAAACATTGATATTAAAGGAGCACCAAAATATATATGCGCCACAAAAATCACTCCATTTGTATGTGGGCTGAGATACTGTGCGGCTGTCCAAACTGAAACAATTGGTTTTCTTAGGAGGATGGCATAGTCCTGTTTGGTGAAGACGCTGATAAAATGCAGAGTCTTTTGGTAGCACTAAGCAACAATGCCAGAATGTTTGGAATGCGCTTCTCTCCCTCTAAATGCAACTTGTTGCTTCAGGACTGGTCTGCGTCAACACCTGAACTAAGGATAGGGAGTGAAGTAGTCGAACGCGTTGACAACTTCACTTATCTTGGAAGTCTGATCAGCCCTAATGGGGTGGTGTCTGACGAAATCTCAGCATGGATTCGAAAAGCTCGTTTGGCTTTTGCCAACTTACGTCACCTATGGCGAAGGCGAGATATCCGTCTATCAATAAAAGGACGAGTATACTGCGCGGCAGTCCGTTCTGTTTTAATTTACGGCAGCGAAACATGGCCATTAAGAGTAGAAGATACTCGTAAGCTATTAGTATTTGACCACAGATGCCTTAGAAATATTGCTGGCGTCTGCTGGGATCACCGGGTAAGTAATAGTGAGGTTAGACGCAGGTTATTAAGGAATGATGGCAAATCAGTTGATGAGGTTGTGAATCTTCATCGACTGAGATGGTTGGGCCACGTGTTCCGTATGCCCGAACACCGATTACCAGAACGTGCAATGCTAACCGGTGTTCGGGATGGTTGGAAGAAAGTTAGGGGTGGCCAAACCAAAACGTGGCATCAGTGCTTGAAGTCACTAACTTCTAGTCCGAGTCATGTTGGTAGATACAGACTACTTGGTTGGGGTCCGCGTGACTATCGTAACCAATGGTTGGAGACTCTTGGTGACATGGCTCAGAATCGATCACAATGGCGTCGGTGTATACACTCTCTGTCTCCCCTTAAACTAAGATATTAAAATCGCTTGATATCTTTCTTTCTACGAACTAATTCTTTCTTCCTATACTATATCCTTATATTCAATCTTTCTTTTATATATTACCACCTCTGAATTAACTACTTTTATGAATCCGGTGTCCATCTTGTTGTGTCAATGAGGTATGGCAACTTGGATTGATGCATATATGTGCCTGGTCCTACGTTGTAGCTGACTGACTGACTCACGACCACATAGTAGCCCGTGACCAAGATTAGGTTCATACTCCATTTGTTCCCTTAGGATCCTGAAGCCCATGTTCACCATTGGTTTTAGAACGAGGGTTTTCCAACTGTCCTAGGTCGATCCTCTGTATCCGTCCACTAATATGGTTTAAGTTCTAAATATTTGCTTTTCATCCTTTTGACTTCGTGAAGAGCAGCCCGTTGGCGGGAAAGCAGGGAGTAGGAGGGAGCGGACTTTCCTTACCCTCGGTCGTATTGTGGTGTGTGTCGACAAATATAAGTAGGATGTATCGTCAATTGAAAGGGAAATGCCTGGCGGCAGAAGGTCAAAAAGATCGAAGAGAAGAGAAAGAGAACAGAGAATGATTGGTGTGGAAACGAAAGAACAACAAAATCTGAGATGATTGATTGGTATTTGAAAATGAAGTGTTCACTGTATGATTGTGAGATTTTACCAAGTGATCTTGTAACTTTGTGTTGACTTGTTTTTCATCTTTTTTATCAGAATGTTATCTCTTTCTTTGTATTGTTGGTATGGGTATATTATTCTAGCACTGTACTACACCACAGTTTACATGTATAGCTGCAATAAGCAAATAAGTAAATAAGGATTATATAAGACTGCTTGTGAATTGTTTCCTAATTCAAAACTTTATTTGCTTTTTACGTTTACTTACTTAATTTCTTACGCCTGTTACTCCCAATGGAGTATAGGTCACCGATCAGCATTCTCCAACCCACTCTGTCCTGGCCCTTCTTTTCAACTTCTATTCAATTTTTGTTCATTCTTTTCATGTCTGTCTCCATTTCTCGGCGTAATGTGTTTTTTGGTCTTCCTCTCCTTTGGCCTTCAGGATTCCAAGTGAGAGCTTGTCTTGTGACACAGTTGAATGTTTTCCTCATTGTGTATCCTATCCACTTCCAGCTGTTCTTCCTGATTTCTTCCTCTGCTGGAATCTGGTTTGTTCTCTCCCACAATAGATTGTTACTGATATCGTCTGGCCAACGGATTTCGAAGTATTTTGCGTAGATAGCTGTTAATAAACAATTGTATCTTCTGAATGATGACTTTCGTAGTTAACTTGTTTAAATTAGATTATAATACGTGTAGTTTATTTATATTGTAGTTAGTTTTATTTCACTCCTTATAAATATTGAATAAACATTTAGAATTCAATAATCACTAAGTAAACCAGTTAAGCACCCATTCCTCAAATGATCAATAGAGTTCGATCCGTATTAAAAGATTGGACAAATATGACATTTGTTACTATTCATCCAATGAATAATCTTCATTGTGAGACTATAACTTATGGACGACGACGTTTGAGCGATGCCAAAATGACCTTGAGAATGTCTACCCTACTTAATAGGGCTAAATGAAGATTATAGAACAGTTTGAGGAATAAAGATAATTATTTATTGTCGATGGTAAAGGTTAAGGGTTAGATTGATGGTTTTCATCACGAACTGACTCTCTTTAGCCAAATGGATGTGAGTGAATTTCACGCCACAATCCGAGACCTGTTATCCTAAATCGGATTGATTCGTTCATAAATGATAGTTTCATCATCTTCATTTCTTTAAATGATCACTTCTCTATTCATGTTTTTTTTTCTCCTTCTTAGTATCGTCTTCAAATGTTAGAAGGTGGTGGTTCAACAAACAAGAAAGCTGATTAAATCTGTGATCATTCATTGTCAACAATATTTTGACACTAATCAACTATTGATCTTGATCCGGTGTCAATAAACACAATAATTTGCATCATTCTATATGTTTACTTTTTAAATGTTACATCTTTCAGATATACTTCGTTACTTATTTAATGTTTATGCTTTTGAAACAGATTGTGTTTGTAACTTTCGAACATTGTTTTGTGTTCTCTACATATAAATTTATTGCTGTATATCGAATATAACTGTAGATGTAATAATTCTTCAATGAATTTATTC